GGCACTGGGCAAATCTTTTACCCACGTACAACATACACAGTGAGCGTCACCACTCGCTGTAAATTCTGCAAAGTTCTCCTATATAGGATGGACGTCCCTGAACATAACCAGCGGACAACTTGTGAGTAACAAAGGTGAGCAAGCGATATCGAGAGGTGTGATTGAGAGCACACCATCGTGAGTCATGCGGGCACTGCTGCGGCTTTCGGTATGGTTCCAACTCTGTGCTTCGCTATGACTCTCTAGAGCCACGGAACTTAGAAGGCAAGATCCATCGCTTTGAGTGACTCTAACTCTGGAGCGAGACGGCGACAGAAGATAACGGCGGCGCTGAGTCAACTTCGGATCAAAGGAGCGCATCACAGTCAAATGATAACATTTGATGCGCCGATTACCGCTTCAGCTCTCGCGCGCTCTTCTGAGACCCTCTTGACCACGGCAACGACGGGATGATGCTGCCGACACCTGTCTCATACCACACCAAGCGCGACTCAATCTCTCGATCTAAGCGACCGCTACGAGACGTCCTGCTTGCTCGTGCCCGAGTCACCAATCTCGGTCTCTGCATCCTGATATGCATCGCCTCGGTTTCTCTGCTCGTCAACCTCGGATACTACTCCTCGTCTGGCCCGACGACGCACCTGATATCAAGCGAACTGCTGCCACATCCCGAAATCTCGACTGTCGAGCATGATAGTCAATTGCTGTCACTAGATCATCTGGTTATGGTCCCAGGTCACGCCATCTGGAAAGGCTCGAAGCCTGGACGGGTATTGGACGAAGAGAACTGGTTGTTGGAGCCTTACCAGGCTACTAAAGGTCGGTTAGAGGCCTTTTACAACCATATTGCCCGAGGGTGAGTGCATGTATCCTATAGCTGTGATCACGGTATCAATCGCGTCCGGACAGTGTAGAGACCACGCTGGGAGATGAGCATGCGCTGCTGGTCTTCAGTGGGTAAGTCTTTACTACTTACAGTTGTCGTGCCTCGATTCTTACAGTGCCTAGGGGCCAAACAAAGAAGACCTCCACGACTACTGAAGCCGAGTCGTACCTCCGTCTCGCGCACGCTGCCAGCATGCTGCCTGAAGAGCACTTCACTCGTGTAACCACAGAGGACGACGCCCTGGACTCGTACCAGAATCTGCTCTTCTCTATTGCACGGTTCCACGAATACGCCGGCCGCTATCCATCGCGAATCACCGTCGTCGGGTACGAGTTCAAGCGCAGACGCTTCACTGAGCTCCATCGCGCGGCCTTGCGTTGGCCCGACGACAGGTTCCACTACATCGGAATAGATGCCGAAGGCGAGGATCTCACGACGGCGCAGACCGGCGAGGTCAGTCGTGTATTGCCTGATACCATATGGACGTTGCTGACATTGGCCGCAGAGAGAGAACGGGTTCCTCCCATATGCACAGGACGTGTACGGCTGCCACGACTTTCTACTTGCGAAGCGTCGCTCGCGAAACGTCGCCAACCGCTTCCACTCATACTTCACATCGTCCCCAGAGCTCGCTGGCCTCTTCAACTGGTGTCCAGGTCCCGACGAAGGCGGCCAGACTGCCCTATATGCGGGACCTCTTCCGTGGGATTACTTGCGCTAAGGCGGTGTTTCGTGATTCAATGACAGATCGTTCAGTCGATAGTGGAAGATTGGATGTTGAGGTGTGTTCAGACTTGTCGTATTCAAGGATATTTAGACTGCTTGGGTTTGTGGATTAGATGCTCCCTTACTGTCACTATTTTATACACCGTCTGTATCCGTATTCTCTCTTATTCCCGCGATCGCTGTCTCTGCTCGTTTATTAGGCACACGAAGGCATGCCTATACCTATTAGGCTTCATCCGGCCTTCCTAGCGTTCCGTAGCACGGGCGATGCGATAACAGTTTCCCACGCCACGAAATATCAACACTACGAAACGAGCGGCGACTCCGTTTCGTCCGGTTTCAGTAGCCAGGGGATAAAGGTAAAGATTTACTCTATTACGATATTGTATCAAAGACACCAAGCAAGAGAAGATCTTACAGACGAGCTGCGTAGAAATGGCATTCTTTCATCCCGTTTTGAAGCGAAGTCGCGTTAGCGCCTACCCGCATACAACGGGTTTCTCTCAGCTTTCATCGATCATCCCTCTCCCTTTTCCGATTGCGCGTTTCTATTATTATCTTCCCTCGCGTCAAATTCTAACAAGCCATGTCAACGCCGACCGCGAATGTGGGCTCTTGTGCAGACGGCGGGTTCTTGAACGACGTCGGATGTGCTGCGTTCTTGGCGGGCGTGCAGGCTGAAGGCTGCGACCAGAGCGGGGTGCAACTCTGTTCCAATGTGCGTCTCACTTCAAACCTAAAGCACTGCCACTAACCTATCGCTCTCTGTAGTGTCGCCTAGTCAAAGTAAGTCCCGCCCAGCGGCGCGTCGAGTAGCCACTGACCATCTCTGATTCTCGTGCAGTACTGCTCCCCATTGTGCCAGACAAGCCACTGGCGTTAGCGCAAGCACGATTGCAAGAGCCCGTACGTCAATCCGAGCTGGAGGCCGGAGTGGACCACGTTTACGCCCGGGGTGGCGATCCTCGATTTTATTGGCCGCGTCGACGGCGACACCACAGACCGCACCTGGTTCCCTTTCTGTGCGTATGACTGCATCAATGCTGCAGAAAACGAAGGGATGTCTGTGGTTAATCGGGACTTTGACGTGTGTTACGCTGGTATGTGCCAGAACGTTGCTGCCCGGGCTTGTTTCTGACAGCTGAACAGTGGACGGCGGGCTCTTGAACCTTGTCGCTACCTTCCATCTGACTACTGTGGCAAGTTTCAGGCCCTCCTCAACGATGTCAAGCCTATTACCTCTTCCAGGGACGCGGCCGTCCTTCACTGCCTGCTCGACCCGACTCTTGACCCAGAACAGGTGGCGGAGCTGTGTACCCACCTACTGTACTCCTCTACATTGACACCCGCGCAGGCTGGCGTACTGCGTTCCCACTTCGAGTCACTCTCAGATAGCATCGGCAGTACGCAGACGTCGCAGCAGGACTTCCATGGCGGGCAA